ATAGTAATCCCTTACTTTACTCGTTACTTGAAAAAAGTAATCGGATTACAGTAAGCCCATCTCTGTTGACCTCCTCCTTATTTTTTGGCTGTTATGGTAATGACAGGATAAAGTAAATTCCTAACACCACCCCCACTCCACACCCCCTCACATCACTACGTCCTCAATCATAATAAAAGCAGCCTGTGCTGCCTATTTGAACAAGTCATGATTTTTTTCCCATTCAGCCTCTCAGAGTCATTACGCAGCACTTTCCTGATTATTGCTGTTGTACTTAACGTAGTGCAGTAAATATCTGTATAATACTGAATTTAAACTGTGAGCAGATTGGTGATGCATTGCTACATGTACTTTCTAAGCAGATGTATTATGCCAAGAAATTTGATAATGACTGGCAGACAGTTAATGCTGCACCAACATGTTCAGCTTTGTGCTTCTAAATGTTTTTTTTAATATAAATTTGTTTTTCAGCCATCACAGGAATCCACAGTAACTTTACATCAGTTTCTAAAATCAGTGCTTCCTCCGGTCTTTGTGGGAATTTCTGTAATGAAATTCTGTCTTAGATCTCCTGTAGCCTGTAGCAGTGCTTCTCAAACTTTTCCCAATGAGCACAACCTCATAAAATACATGGCTCTGGAAGTACCTCCCTTATGACCGACATTAAAGTACAGTAGTACAGGCCTATTTAACACTACATACAGTTTACATGAGGCACTTTTATTTCTTATATGAATGTTATTGATTTTAACTGTCATAAACAGGATGTGACGAGTGATAATAATAACAAGTGTTCTGCATTAAAACACTCACAGCAGGTGGGATATCCAATCTTTAACTGATTACATATGAAAAAACTACTCTGCATTTAATAAGGCTTTTGTGTTTTTAACATGTTTTAATGTTTTGTATCTTCTCTCTGTTCATTTTAAAGCTCAGTTTTTAAAACCTTACGATGTAACTGCAGCCCAGCCCATGCAGCAGTATATTAATGACTAACCTCGTATTGTGGATGAATAATCTCAGTTGTTCTCCTGACTGAAGTTTGGTCCGTTTACAGCAGCGGTCCCCGACCTTTTGTGCCA